GCCTCAGGATCTAAGTCCAGCAGATGCACACTCACTCAGACCATAGTGATCAGATCAGGAACAAAACAGGCTTCTTCTGGAGTGGAGTTGATAGAGGAGAGGGTCTTAGGGAGAAGTCTTTTTCTCACCAGAGTCAAGAGGCTGCTGTAGTTTGAGAGTRATGAGAACAACACAGAGGATCAGGCAGATGAGAAGAGTTGGCATGTCGGTCTAGGTCCTCATCAGGTTCTCAGGCTTTTGTGCATCATTGTCGGCTGGCTGAATGTCTGTTCATTTGCTCCATCATTTATTCTAAATTTGGGGGCTTCTGACCACCTTTTCAGTCCCTATCAGCTGCTACCAATTTCTCAGTGACATCATTCATCCTGAGGTTAAAGTATCTGGTCTGGGGTTCCTCACCCTGATTTTCTTGCTTCTTGCTCTTATAAGAGTGAGGGCAACATGCCAGAGACTTCACTCTGAGTTTGTCAGGGTGGGGAGAAGTGACTTGTTTGTGCCTGAGGGCMATACTGGAGGGCTCTGTAGGTGTGCCTGGTGAGACTGCAGGTTTTAAACTGGAGTTTTAAAATGGAGTTGTTTAGGCTAAGGCCTAAGGCCATCCTTACAGTCACACACCAATCTTTCCTAGAAATTGAAGGACATGGAAAATAGGTCCCAGAACATTTCCATTATCTATAGCCATTCTCCCACCCACCTTGTCCATGTCACATAGGAGGTTTGGTCACTTAAAGGCTCAGTCCTCAGCTAGAGGGAAGACTGCTGGAGAACATAAAGGAACTGGCACCTGACTCCCTGCCCTAATTGATCTGCTGACTCCAATACAATATACCCTAGGAATTTCCCTACCTATCATCCTATCCCATCCTAATGGATCAGTTGGCCCTAATAAACCCCAGGAACTACCTTCCTGCCCCACCGTAAATGAATCCTATAAAACACAGATAAAACGCTTGTCTTGGTCCAAGGTTGGTTTAAGCCCCTCAGCTGTTTGATAGGCTCCTCTGATCAACAAAGAAGAGCTTGTTGATCCCAGGTTAGCTTCCTGCCTCATTCCTTGTTTTTTTTTTTTTTTTTCTTGGTACCAGGGATTGAACTCAGGGGCACTCAACCACAGAGCCACATTGCCAGCCCTAGTTTGTATTTTATTTAGAGACAAAGTCTCACTAAGTTACTTAGTGTTTCGCTTTTTGCTGAGACTGGCTTTGAACACTTGATCTTCCTGCCTCAGCCTCCTGATCCACTGGGATTATAGGCGTGCCCCACCATACCTGGCTACCTCTGTTCTTTATGCTTACATTTTTGGTTCCCTGACCAGGAATTCACTTCAAGCACCTTTGTGCTTATAGAAATACCTTCAGAGACACATCCCAAAGTAATGCCTTACCATGCTTCTAAGTATTCTTTAATCCAAACTGACACCTAAAATGAACCAYCACCATCACCAAGGCCTGTCAGTGGTACTTCATTAGTACTTATTAAATCCTCATATATGTACATCTTTGGATTAGTCCCTACCACTGGTGTGGGCAATATCAAATAAAGAGAATAAATTATTAGCATTTCTACAAAGCCCTTGAAAATCAGGTTATATTTATCCGTCTTTACACCATTCTGCATAGAACCTGCTCTCCAGCCATACTTAAGTAGCCATTTTGCAAGAGCTCATGTTTTCACACTACTGTGTTGAAGCATAAAGGTATGTCTTYAACCCTCTTGGCTGACTGCATACCAGGAAGAAGCAATGATGAGCAATAGAAGACTGTCCCCCCTCAGGAACACCTAGTAGACAATTAGAAAATTGTGGTTCAGCTGAGTCATATTCATGTCCCTTCACTGAGGTTCATTGACAGCAAAATTTAGGTCCCCTGGATGTTCATTTAAATTGAGCAGACAATATCTAGTTTTATGAATTGCAAAGATTCTGGTAGGTTAGTTAATCATTACAGGAAATATACTTATGTTGTTTTATTCTACTAAGATTCTGGGCCTAATTTTTAGATGCAAAAATCATTTGGTAGGGTGCTGCCATAAATAACTACAAAAAAGTATTTTTGTGCCAATTTTTCTTATCTTGGCCTGTATCTCACTGTGGTAGATAAAAAGTGTGGAGGAAACAGGAGCTGAGAGTGAGGAAGAAATTTGTGAAAATATGAGTAGTTCTATTATGCCAGAAATAGGACCTGCACATAAAAGGTTAAATGAGCTGATTTTGTTGTGGAGGAAACTACAACTGGGTGTTGTGACGGAAAAGTGCAATACCTTTCCTCACACAACATAAGGGTGGCCCCCAACACTCCTGTGGAACAGGTCAACAAGAGAAAAAAATAACAAATATATTTAACTAAAGTTTTACACTACACAGAGCCTTCAGAAATGAAGACCCAATGACCCAGGAAAACTCTCTGTTTTTTATGCTCAGGTTTGAGGAAGAATGGACAGTCATTTGGACATGATTGGAAAAAAGAATATGATGTAATGGTAATAGATTGAATGAGAGCCCCAGCAAGCCCTTTGTTTGAATTATTTTTGCTTCTCTGTATATCATACCTTTCTTCCTCTGGAAGTACCCGGCAGGCAGGACCCCTTTAGTATGAGGGTCTCTAAGAAGAAGGGAGGGGATGATGTTTTGTAAGGATGGCCTTGGGCCTTAGCCTAAGCAACTCCATTATAAAACTTCTTCTTAAAATAAACCTGCAGTCTCACCAGGCAAGTCACCAAGCCCTCCAATATGTCAATCAGGCATAGCCTGATAAAAGCAAGTCACTTTCCACAACCCTGGTAAGAGGATGAAGTCACATGTCATTTGTTCTAAACTTGATAAGAGTCAGAAGTATGATATCAGGGCCGAAATCACCAGACCATATGTCCTCTCTAAGAATGAATGTTGTCACTAAGAAACCTGCTAACAGCTGATAGGGACACAAAGGGTGAGCAGAAGCTCCCAAAATTTAATATAAATATTGGAGCAAATGAACAGAGGTTCAGCCAGTGGACACTGATGCACACAAGCCTAAGATCTATACTGACATCCCAACTCTTCTCATCTGCGTGATCCTCTGTGTCGTCCTCACTTCTCTCAAACTCTACAGCAGCCTATTGACTCTGGTGAGAAAAGGACTTCTCATTATGACCATCTCCTCAGCCAACTGTCAATTCCACCCCAGGAAAAGCCTCTGTTGGTTTCTGACCTGATCGCCATGGTCTGAGTGAGTGTGCATCTGCTGGACTTGAGACCAAAGACTTAAGACTTTGAAATCTAACACTTAATGTTAGCATGCAGAGGAAATGGCATGATTAAGTGTGTTTGCAGTGCTGAGTTAACTTAGAATGGTTTGCTTTGAATGGTTTGATTGCTTTGAATGGTTTGATTATGTCTGTTGCAATGCCCAGCATTAAGAATTGTCATTCCTTGATTAAGAACCTATAGAGTAAAATTGTATTAAGTGATTTGAGTGAATAAAACATTGAAAAGAGTAGAAGTGCATGGACACTCTTTATTTCTCCCCTTGACTGCAGGTGTCGCACTTTGCCCATTGCGACACCTTTCTAGGTTTTATGGCTGACTTTGAAGGGGAGTAGTTCTAGCTTTTATGATGCACCTCCAAGTAGGGGAATTCTGGTTTCTATGACTCACTTTGCTTTGGGGAAAAAAATAGGGTCTGGAGGCAGATGGATGGAGGTCAGAAAGACCTTACTTCTGAGGCCTTTCCAATTCCTTCTGACTGAAGTAATCAGCACACCAAAGCAGCCAAAGTGCTTTAAAAAAATTAGTTTTAGTTTTTAGTTGTTGATAGACCTTTATTTATATGTGGTGCTGAGAATCGAACAGTGCCTCACATATGCCAGGCAAGTGCACTATCGCTGAGCCCCAACCCCAGCCTCCAAAGTGCTATACTTTGAGGTATTGCATTCTGAACTCCAACATAAGCAACACAAAATTTATGAATACTTTGCTGTATGCTCAGATTTCTTAATCTGCCTTGGCCACAGCTGTGTGATGGGAAAAACCAGCAAATGCTTCATTGACATCTAACATATAGAAAGTCAAATAATCTATGGATATAAACAGACTTGAAAATTTCAGGAAACTTTTATATAATAAATACAATTCAGCACAAGCAGAAATTTTTCTTAATTTTTTTTGTTTAAAATAGTAGGTTCAGGAAAAGCCAAAATTATCACAGAGAATTGTTTATATTAAAAACAAGCTAATGGGTGTCGACCTACTTTGTATATAAACAGAGATATGAAAAATTGTGCTCTATATGTGTAATAAGAATTGTAATGCATTCCGCTGTCGTGTATTTAAAAAAATAAAATCAATTAAAAAAAACAAACAAGCTAAGAGTCATTTTAATTGTTACCGGAAAAAAGAAAAACAAAACAATAACAACAACAACAAAAAAGAAAAACAAAACCCCAAAACAAAAATAACAAAACACAAAACCTGGAGGATATTCCTCTTGTCAATGTTTCTTTGGAAACTCCCTCCCTATGCTGTTTCAAAAGAGACAGAACAAAGGTAAATACCGTCTGTTAACCAAAAATCTGGCTAATCAGCGACTTCAGACCTACTAATTGGTGACAAGAACACAGCTCTTAAGACTAAGTGTCCTGGGTTCATTCATCCCTCTGAGCTGGAGTCTTGSGAGAAAGAAATAGTGCATTTGGTTTAATACCTCGGTTCTGGAACTTATGATTGCAATTGGGGTTTGGGCTCGACCTGGGGTAAAACATGGGGACAGGTATGAGCCTTAGTTTCTCTGTCCATYCAAGAAGGATAATAGTGTGAACTGTTATAGGGATTAACGGAGATTATACAAAGGGGGAACTCTGCCTGACGTATAGTAAGCGCTCAACGTATGTGACTTATTACTACGTCGAGTTTCCTTCAACGCTCCCCTGGGCCTGTCTTTCCAAATTTGAGTATAATAAATATAAAAGGCATCCCAACGCGGGGCAGGGGGCCACGTGATCGCTCCACGCAAGCCACTTGTAGGCCTACAGAGAGTTAGCCAGGAGCCTGGAGCCGGGACGGCGAGCGCGCCGCGGCCCGCGCGATTTCCCGCCGCGCCCGCGTCCCCGGCGGCGGGCGGGCTCGGGGGCGCCCGGGCCGCGGCGGCGGCGGCGGCGGCGGCGCTAGCGGCGCCTCGGGGCCGGTGAATCATCCCGGCAGACACCGAGAGCCGCGGCAGCAGAGAGCAGCGCTGAAAAATGGCTGAAGCGGCCACGGGCTTTCTGGAGCAGCTCAAGTCCTGCATGGTTTGGTCCTGGACTTATCTGTGCACCGTGTGGTTCTTCATCGTGCTCTTCCTGGTCTACATCCTGCGGGTGCCCTTGAAAATCAACGACAACTTGAGCACAGGTAAGGCCAGGGCAGCGGGGCCCGCGCTCGCCCCTCCCCCGCCCGGGAAAGTTAGTGCAACTCGCGCGGGGCCGCGGCCGGCGGGGGCGGGCGGCCGGGCGCGCGCTCGGGGCCGCGCCGGGGCCCGCGCACCGGACGCCGGCGGCCGCCTGCCCGGGACGCGGCGCCTCAGGTGGCAGCCGGCGGCCTTCTGCGGCCCGCGGGAGGCGGAGGAGGAGTGACGCCGCCTGGCGGGCCCGGCCGGCCGCGACGGCACCGCGGCCCGGTCCGACCTCCGGCCGCGGTCTCCTGGCCGGTTGGCTGGACACCCGGGAGGACGGACGTCGGGAGCGAAGGACTTCCCGGGACGGCTTCCCGTCGGGMGACTGCGTCCGAAGCGCGGGGCCTCAGTGTCAGACCGCTTCCTTCCCCCCTTGCCCCGAGGTGGGCGCTGAACGTCAGAAGCTCGGTCCGGTCCGGTCCAGTCGGAGTGGGCCGGCCGCTGCCCGGTGGGGAGCGGGCCTCCGGGACGCGCCCGCCGCGAGCGGAGCCCCGCAGAGTAGTTGCTCTGATGTTGGCAGGGCGAGGGATTCCCGCAGGTGTGCACAGGAGCTCGGATGACGTGTCAAGTCACCAAACGGAATGTGGAAGGGACACCAGGTGAGACAGGAGATCTGGAATTTCCGATGGTCCCAGTTGAGGTTTTAAAAGATCGCTACTGGTCTCTCCCCCAAAGTTCCACTGGCTAACCCGGTGCTTCCCGCGTGTCTCATGGCCACGGTCTTCGGTGCAGAAGCAACTAGGACAGTGTTAATAAACTTGGAGCTGAGTCGATAAACAGCCACTACAGACAAGACTACGCCAACAGTAACACTCCAGAGACAATGCAGAAACAAAGTATTTCAAAGGAAGTGTTACAATCCTTGAAATGTGAAAATGATCATGGATTCAAGATAGATGGGCGTTTCTTAAAACAACAGCCACCACCCTTTAATTTCACAGGGGAAATTCCCGTAGTTCCAAATTATGTATGGACATAGATAAGTATTAACACCTGTATCTCCCAGCGAGTGATTTACATACTCTGGAAGTCTAGGTCTGGAAATTCATTTTCTTGTGTATGGCTCCTTTGAGAAAACACTTTTTAAACACTTGCAACAATGTATCCAGTTAGGACTTGTTCATTTAAGATACTAACTTTCAGCATCTTGATTAAGTTGAACTCTTTCCTGTTTACATTTGTTTCATACTATCTCTTGGATTGTATCCCTCAGAGGATACTATCTGTAGGATTCTGTACCCAAGAATCCTCTCCCCATTTACATAGATACTGCTTAGCCCACTGGATCCAGTCATTGTAGAGACCCTGGCTTTCTGATTTTTCATTCTTTAGGGTGGCTACTTGTCATATAATATTGTCTTCCTTGCTTCAGGCAAATATATCACTTTCAAGCCCCAAATAACTTTTTTAAAAAGTTATTTGAGTAGATATATCATGAATTTATTGGTAAATGCATTGATTTTTTTCTTCCTGAAAATTAACTGTAAAAAGTTTTAAATGTGAATTTTTTTCCCATGAATACACATTCAAATTTTAAAATTTTGCTTAAATTAAGTTAAATTATCATCTGTGCATGTATGTGCGGATGAGCCCACAATACAGTGGCCACATGCCAATTTTATACAGAAGAACCAATAAGCAAAATATTTACTGAGAAAGGGTGCAGTTTTTAAAGAAGAAAATTGTTACATTTTATTCCAGCAACATTAAATCTAGCATTTCTCACTGATACTTTGTCAGTTTGGGTAGGAGCAATTCTTATCTAGGTATATAAGAGGTAGAGTGAGCCTGGGTCTCTTTCCCAGTGATGCTCGACTTCTGTTTCCTGTGTGGTTTCTTGCACATTTTCGTCATAAATGAAGATAAAAGGAGAAGCACACAGAGAACACTCACCTCTCTGATATTTCTATGACAATATAAAGGAGGAAGGAGACTTTGTATTGAGAATGTAAAATTAAGACTAAACCATTTCAGAAAAGATTAGGTTTTTCAAAAGTCAGTGACAGACATTGGAGGCCTTTTTCTTCCCTTTTATTTTATTTACTTTTTATATTTTTGGTATGGGGGATTTAGCCCAGGGGCACTTCACTACTAAGCTACATCCTCAGCCCTTTTTATCATTTTATTTTGAGACATAGCCTTGCTAAATTGCTGGGGCTGGCCTTGAATTTGTAATCCTCCTACCTCAGTCTCCTGAGTTGCTGGCGTTTATAGGCATGCATCACCATGCCCAGTTTTTCCCTTTTAAATTAAAGTGAGAAGCTGGAAGTTAGAAAAACTGCCAAAAGTTTGCTGTCAACTTAATTTCTTCTTTCTCTTGCTAGTTTCCCTTCTGTTTGGGAACAAGTTTCTGAAAGTTCTTGAGGAGGAAGGCTCAGAGAAGAACTCACTAGCTAGCTCCTCCTCTAGGTTAGGCAGACACTGTCTTCCTCTGGTCAAACTTCCCCTGCAGGGAGATCTCAATGGGTCTGACAGGATTAATTTTGCTCTTTAGCATTGTGGTCCTTGTTCTTCCTATGATGAAGGCAAGTTTGTTCTTGGAAAGGCTGTGAATCTAGAACTGCTTTTAGGTGATCTGCAGGTGACACAGGCCTCCCACACCATCACAGTGAAGCAGAGCTATGAGACAGGAGCCAGGGCTTCTGTGATGCAGAAACTGCTCTGCACCTGTAGGGGTGGAATCTAGTAAAAATGTTCTGAGTTGTTCTTAGATCAACTTGGTGTGTTCTTCTTAATATCTTGATTATCTATGGCAATTTTTAAAAAAATATTTATTTATTTATTTATTTATTTATTTATTTATTTATTTATTTATTTATTGGTGTAGATGGACACAACACAATGCCTTTATTTTTATGTGGTGCTGAGGATCAAACCCGGGTCCCACCCGTGCTAGGCAAGCGCTCTACCACTGAGCCACAATCCCAGCCCCAATCTATGGCAATTTTAATATTTTTAACTTTATATGACTGTTTTGTAGCAATTGTGCTTAACTTTAAATTGAAAAAAAATAATTCTCGAATGCCTCCTATGCATAGGAACTGTGGTTGGTACTATGATGAGAAGGATGTTTGTAAAACTCAGGCTAAAAATAAGGAGTTTATAACATGAGTACAAGTTTCCATAAWGTAAGGTGGAGGAGGACAACCCAGTGGAAATTTCCCTGGAACTGAACCGGGAAGGGTGAGAGAATTCTAGTACTGAATTTGAGATAGAGATGGATGAACTTTCTCCAAAGACACAAAGATGTGAAAGTGAAGTTCAGATCCAGAGAACCATGAATTGTGGAATTTCATTTAAAACAATAAAGGGAAAGGACCTTAGTGAACAAGCATACCTGTTTTTAGCTCACATGTAGTTTTCTAAGTAAAAAATATTAAGTGGTTCTTTTCAAGGTGTAGTTTAGTTTCATTATACTACTTCCCTGCTCTCACCACTGGGTTTGCTTGATCTTCACTGCTGAGCCAAAACTATTTAGAGTAGGGATACAGTTCCAAGAATTTCATAGTATTCGGTTAGGTCACACACAGAAAACTTTGCAAAGGCAACTATATCTTATATAAGAAAAATGAATTATAAAAAGAAAGGAGAAAATAAACATATTAGAGGAGTAGCTCTACACTGATTAGCTTTGATAATTGATTTTTGATGCTCAGCCTTTAAATTGGATAGGAGAGTCTTAATATAATTTTATGATTTACTGAAAATAGAATGAACTTTTAACCTAATTTTAAAAAACCCCTTAATTATATTACTTGTAAGATTTCAAGTGAATTAATATCATAAGATAATGCTTTTCTAGAAAGCAGAAAATTGATTATAGATTGGGGTAGTCATGAAGTTATTATTCAGAAAAATGATAGATTTATCTTAAAAAATGGCATAACTTTATTCTTTGATGTGGATGGCACTTTCTCTTATAACCTATGTTCTAAGGTTTTAGAGTTGTCTTTAAAACACTTTGCATGACACACTTTTTCTTAAAAATATTCACTTTTGCCATTTTTCACCAAGCAGTTTAAATGATTTTTCAATGTTGTTTCTAGAAATTTCAAAGATGTTTGAAATTCTATGTCATTTCTTTTAGGAAACAAATGCATGATATAATATCTTGGCTTAGGCTAAAAGTTGTTTATATGTTTGCATTTTAAATTAAGATGATAAATACAGAAGCAATTCTCCTGTATTGTTAAATCATATTAGCTACAGCTCAGTTTTTTTTTTTTTTTTTTGGTACCGGGCTCTGAATCCAGGGGCACTCAACCACTGAGCCACACCSCCAGCCCTATTTTGTATTTTATTTAGAGACAGGATCTCACTGAGTTGCTTAGTGCCTCATTATTTGCTGAGGTTGGCTTTGAACTCTCCATCCTCCTGCCTTAACCTCCCAAGCACTGGAATTATAGGTGTGTGCCACTGCATCTGGCAATAATAGGTCTTTATCATTCACTGGATGAATAAATCTCTCAAGTTATAATATGCAAAGTGACTTGGGATTGGAACACTAGAATTGATCAAACATATTACTGGGCATATGCTCCAACTAAATTGTCACTTTTAATTGAGGTCAGAGGCTCAATTCTATGGTGGGTCATATATATCTCACTCATGGTGGTCCAGTTTGTGGACACAGAAAAGGACATTTTTCTGATTAATGTCAGTTTTGAGTTTACAATGTATTTCATATACCTTAGTTGCCTTTACTTACTGTTGGAGATATTTCGTTTAGTCATTAATGAAGCAATCTGTATGATGTCTTTTTCTCAGCCTTCCAGTTTATGTATCTATTTAAAATGAAACTTTATATTCCTAAAGATTTTTTTTTGACTCCAAGATTTCATGTTGGTGTCTTGGGATGAATTTCATTGAGTATAGGTATAGTAGCAATCAAATACATGGACTATATATGTATTTTTCCCCCAGTTTTGATTCTAATTAGTGAATACAATTCCACATTTTA